CCGATAGCGTGTTTACAGCCTCCCCTTTATCTCCCCGGGAATCCGCACGCCGCCGCCAAGGAAGAAAGGGAGCGAGCGAGGCGAGGGAACACGCTCCCCGAGAAAGGTTACGCGGTCATGACCTCGTTCGGGGGAAACTCGGCCACCACGCGGTTTTTCGGGGCTCGTATCCGTCCCGCCCATCGTACCTTCGTTTTCATATTCACCTGCACTGGCTCGCACTCTTTATTATTATTATTATTATTATTATTATTATTATTATTATTATTATTATTATTATTATTATTATTATTATTATTATTATTATTATTATCGTTGTTGTTGTTGTTGTTGTTGTTGTTGTTGTTGTTGTTGTTGTTGTTGTTGTTGTTGTTGTTGTTGTGACTACGTTTGCGCGTCTCTCTGCTGGGAAATTGGGAGTTGCGCAGATTCCTGCCTTTTGTATGCAAAGAAATCATTTTTGGCGCCGGCGTAACTTCGTGCGCCAGCTTCAATAGCCGACGGAGATAGTACGCGTGCCCCGCCGCGGTGGTCGAGTAGCTAAGGTACTCGGCTGCTGACCCGCAGGTCGCGGGATCGGATCCCGGCTGCGGTGGCTGCATTTCCGATGAAGGCGGAAATGCTGTAGGCCCGTGTGCTCAGATTTAGGTGCGCGTTAAAAAAACCCAGATGGTCGAAATTTCCGGAGCCTTCCACTACGGTGTCTCTTATAATCATATGGTGGCTTTGGGGCGTTAAGTCCCACATATCAATCATATCAATCAGAGATAGCATGCGCGTTGGCTTGGGATAGAGATAGCACGTGCGTCGGGTCGCCGTCTGGGTTTGTTAACCGCAGCGCGGGTGCGATGCTGAAGGGAGAAAAAACAGAAGAATCGGGCTCACTGGTGTAATGTACTCATAACAGGTATACGTACTGTATGTCATCTATGTGTATCGCGATAAAGCGTTTTACATTTAATAATTAATGTGGTACCGTGAGGCTACGCGAGAGGACGCTGATAATGAGTACGTAGTCCAGTTTTTTTCCTTCCTTAACTTTGCAGTGCAGCCTTTACTGACGTAAACAAGTCGTTCGTTGCTCAGCTACAGGCCAAAGTGAGGCCAAGCAATAAGCTACAATAAACACGACATGTTGATAAGACAATATTCATTCGGTATGTTGACGTGTTCGACTGTTTTCATTGTGGCAATTCCTCTTTGGTCGCCTATGCTAAAATAAGATTAATTAGATAGGCATATAGATAGATAAGAGACATGTTGATAAGACAATATTGATTTGGTATGTTGACGTGTTCGACTGTTTTCATTGTGGCAGTTCCTCTTTGGTCGCCTGTGCTAAGATAAGATTAATTAGATAGGCATATAGATAGATAAGATATAGACTTAGAGATAAGATTATTCGCCTTTGAGGTCTTCGTGTGGTTTTGCGCTGGTTTATTCTTAATATACCGAATTTCCCAGAAAGCTACGTTACTAAGATAAGACTGATTGCATGCAGCTTCGATGCAGCCCAGCTTCGTTTTATTCGCGGAAAAGAAGCTGGCTAGCAAACACACATAGACTGAGTTAGAAATAACAGCTTCACGAAATGCTGGTGTTCGAAAACGAAACGTGCGTACTGCGTGCTTTGCTTTGATTGATTGATATGTGGGGTTTAACGTCCCAAAGCCACCATATGATTATGAGAGACGCCGTAGTGGAGGGCTCCGGAAATTTCGACCACCTGGGGTTCTTTAACGTGCACCCAAATCTGAGCACACGGGCCTACAACATTTCCGCCTCCATTACTGCGTGCTTTGCTACACAATGGTTCCTTGAAACTCGTACATTTCGAACAGTCAACAACTGTTTTGACTAAAAAAAGACATGATTAAAAGACTCTGCGAAAGTGCGTTTTCTCGAAAGAAGTAACGTGCGAAAAAATAGACGATGAAAGGAGGAAAGCAAGACTGATTGAAGGCAGTTCATGTTTCCAGTGAAAAAGGAGCGAGACACTGTCTGCGTATGCATTGACCTTGCTCAAAGCTTCATTTCCCTCCGTTTCTTTAGTGCCGCATTTTGTGCCTCCTGCAGTGCGAGAGCGGGCCATCTTGATTTTAGTTTTCGCACGACATCTAGCGGCTTGTCTGAGGTCGGCGCATTCAGGTTTGCTTCTTGACTGAATCGACGACGACTGCGTCTGTGAAGGAGGTCTTGGAACAGCAGGCATCTCTCTCTCTCTCTCAGTTCGCTTCGAAGCAGATCGCTCCATTCCAGATGGCTGTTTGCTCGTCATGTTCCTATGACGTAGCCCCACAAGTCGTACCTCAGATAAGCGCCCACAACAGGCGAAACAAATCTCGGGGAGCTGCCCACCAAGACGCGCGTTCTGCTTGCGTAGCTTCTTCAATATTGCTATTCATTCTTTTCCACCGCATGTATCTGTCTATCACTATTGCACGTTCGGTGTGTTTAATATCGTCCTGTAATTTCACGCGTTATCGTGCCATGCCTCTGTACATTGTGTATCTGTTCCCGAATCATCAGTAACTTCAGCATTTGCCACAAACCAAACGCTGTTATCGCTGTTTGTTGGCGTAAAGAAATCTGTTATTGCACCTGAGCGTCGCCGTTTGAGCGTGTTCACTCATCGTGGCGCACTGTGCCATACATGAGTTGTTCTGCAGCCGTTAAGCAAAAACATTGCCGTGTAGTGTTGCTGATTAAGGCCCTAGCTAACAAAGCGAAAATTTGCGTGCCGTGTAGCTATTATACAAGAGGAACGAGACATCCGGATGCCTATCGTACATATAGCAGTGTTCCGATTATTCGTTCGCGATGGGCGCTTATTCAGCACGTATACGAAGCGAGTTAGGCACGGAGCCGAGCAATCAACATATGCAGAACAGGTCCGAGTCGCCGAGCCGGAACATTGTATCCCGATCTGGTCGGCAGGCCCGCGTATAGCGTGGATCCCCGAAGAACCGAACGATACGGCGAACAGGAGGCGGGGGTGCGGACACCGTGACCTGCCGCAAAAGTACTATACGGGCTCGGCGACCATGGCATTCCGGCAGTGCTGCACTGCATGCTGATGACCAAGTGCGCGTTGGTCATCGTGCGGCAGCGCACGGAGGAGGACTCCCGGGCCGTAATCACCCGAAATCGGGCAAGGCCTTACCGGGAACGGGGCGCGCCTATTTGATTTCCGTCACTGCTGCAGCCGGTGTTATTGAGTTTCTCGCGTACGACCGTGTTCGGTATCGATTCCTCCACCCCCCCTTTTTTTTCTTCTTCTTTTTGGTCTTTTCGTGCGTATACGGCAGGACCTCGCAGCGCGGGCGGTGTGTGTCTGCTCCTGGGCGGGGACGGCCATCACTCAACGCGCCGCAGTTTGCCGAGTGAAATTGCGTTTCCAGTACAGAAGCCGTCCGTCGACGTATCGCTTTTTTCTTTCTCAACTGTAGGCCTTGTATAAAACCGTCGTTACGCGACACGTGACGCTTACTTTGCATATACGCAAGTGCCGCCCCTCTCATACGTACTGTCGCGTATAGTTTGGAAAGAAATCGCGAACAGCGTTTTCCCGTGGTTGGTAAAGTTAGAACATGTCGTCATACCGAACTGGCTAGCAGGGGCGTATACCCAGAAACTTTTTTCGGGGGGGAGGGAGGGATTTAACCATACGTTATGTATGTTGATGCGTGCGTTTGTATGTTTGTGTAACCAAACTTGAAAAATTTTCGGGGCGGTAGGGGGGGGGTTTGAGACTCCCTCACTTGGCTACGCCCATGCTGGACCGCCCGTTAATTGCGTCTTCACCTGTGACGTATTGCCTTTCCGCTTGATTTTCGTTCGTCTATGCTTCTGTAAACGCGGCGTTCCGCAAATATTCATTTATTTTTAACTGAAAGAAATATACAACCGAAATACTTACATTATTAGCATATTCAAATAGTGAGCACGAATACTTACTTTCTGCACTGATATTTTGCGAAATTGTACATTTCGTCACCATCTGTACATATGCATCATAAACATATTTTTGTCATCATATACGTGGCTGCCTGTGTTGTGCAGCGTGAAAGAAAGTCCCCTGTGCAGAATGTTCTACCGAGCGAATTAGATCACACAATTAAGTAATCTACCCGCCCGTCAGAACGAGAACTTGTTCGAATGCCAAGCTTAACTCTCAAATGACGAATTCCTTGATTAACAGGCATAACTCATGTTGCAAGGCCTCCTTTCGAGCACAGAGTAATACAAGCGAGGCAAAAAACCTTTGAACGGTTAGACAGATTTGAAGCTTGTGGTTTGCTGCCCAAGAGAAAGTAAAAGTTGGCATTACCAAGCATGGCCCGCTTGTTATAATCCTAACCAACGTTTCTAAACACGTTGGTCATAACGGTCCGCTAAGCGACTTTCAGAACAATTCTTTAGGTTACCGGAGTGCCGCATTAACGTCAGCTAGGCCTCAGAAAGTTGTTACGTATATCGTATGACTCAGTATTGTCCGGGAAAATTGATTCGGTGTTGTTTGTCGAAGCTCGAGCAAATGAACAGTTGTCCCTGCTATAGTGATGGCGTTGCCGTTTATACTTCTGTACGTTGCAGGCTATTGTTTCAGCTGTTATACAAAGTGCTGTAACTTTACAAGACGGGGGATATTAAGGGGTGCTGTAAGTATGTCAGGCTATTCAGCCACAAATGTGTTGTTGTAAACGGGGTCGGGTGCTCCTCTAAAAGCGATAATTAGGTACTAATTCATCAACGCTTATGTACTGTTCCGTTCACTGCTTTGTGTGTGCAACCAAGTTGTTCGCATGGTTTACGTAGCGTGTATTGGACGGCACCGAGTAATTAGGCGGAGAAAATGTGGTTCACGCAATCCGCTGTCCTCTGCCGCCCGTTAGACGGATGCATCCTGTCCGACCAGAAATGCAATGTTCATCTTCATCATTCAAACGTATACCGTGCCTTTTCCGAGACACTGACCGGTTGTGTGATGTGCGACGCAGATCAGCACGCTGGTGAGCGCCAAGGACCGGGCGCTGCGCAGCGAGCAGGCGGTTCGTGCGCGCGTCGGCCAGGCGGTGAACCTGGCCGTGGAGCGGTTCGTGTCGGTCGGCGAGGCCCTGGCTGACGACAACGTCGAGATCAAGCTCGACATGTACGACGCGTGCCGCAGCGCGCGCGCCGCCGGCGCCAGCATCGAGCAGCTGTGCGACGTGCGGATGGACGAGGCCTCCGAAGACCGGGGCGCTCTGGCCAGGGCCGCGCGCGCCCTGCTGGCCTCCGTCACCCGTGTGCTCCTCCTAGCAGACACCGTCGTGGTCAAGCAGCTTCTCAGCGCCAAAGACAGGGTGAGTGATGGTTCCACCTTCTACTGACGGTGCTTATACTACGTTGCATACAGCAGCGCCTTCGTGACACTCTCGTGGGGAGGCCATGGCAGTATGTACAGGTTGAGGTGTTCCCTGGTGCCTTCATCGGAGGTGGCACGCTCACGAAGGCACCGTGAACCATACTTGCTGGTTCGGCTGGCATCTTCAGGCGTCTATTATCGGACTCGCAGAGAGTTTGAGCAGCCTGCTTGTTTTGCCGGCTGCTTTGGTGAAGCACTAACGTGCATTGTCTGTCGTCTCGCCCTGCCTTGTGACGTCGTGAGGCAGACTCGGGTGCAAGGAGATTACGTGCGGAACCTGCGCACGAGCGCATTCTGGTTGCTTCAACACACTTGCTGCGCGCTCTCCCGACTACCGGACGCGATGAGCGTCTGCATATACGTCATAGGTAGACGTCCGCATCATTATCATCGTCAGCAGCATATTCTGACGCTATCGAGTTGGAGAGTTCGTTTCGCAGGAATTCCGGTGTCGCTGTCGGCGTCGTTGGTTGTGAGCGGAAAATCATCATTTTGTCCAGACGTAAAATTCGAGAGAGATGTCGATAAAATAAAATAATAAAAATCTTCAGTTTGAGTTGTCTGCGTGCAAAGCAGGTGTTTTACCACAGAGCCATGCTATTGCTCGAAACTTCGTCGGAGAAAAGCCCTACACGAAAGTCATGCTGTGGGAGGAGTTTGCTTAACGCACATAATACTGCGCGGCAGAAGCGTAGAATCGCACTAGGCATCATAGCATATGAATTGTGCATCGAGCAGGGTGTTTTAAAGGTCCTCTCATAACAAAGCGGTCAGACACATTCAATAATTATTAGCTGCAGAAGCATCAACAAAATGTGCAGCTCTGTAAGTTTGCTTGTTGTCTTACAGATGCGTAGTGAGCGCTTCGCTGATTCGCAAAAGAAGTAATTATGGTGGAGTGGCCACTGAACAACTGTAATTACATTAGTCGTTCGTATAGTTTGAAACGGCCAACGCGCACTGACGGTTGACGCATGCACTCAAAGCCGAAGATATAGGCGGGCAGTTGAAAGGGCAATGCGCAAGGGTCTTGATTACGCTATCGCGTTCTTTCTTGAAGGCGAAGCTCAAGTGTCATCCGAAAAAAAGGAAAGGAAGGAAGCAACAAAAGGGAGAAGGCAGGGAGGTTAACCCAGAAAGACTTCCGGTTGGCTACCATACACTGGGGATTAAGGAAGGGGACAAAAAAGATGACAAAGAGGGAAGAGAAGGAAAAGAAAAAAGGGAGATAGAGACAGTAATTTCATTGCAGTTTGTAGAACTCCACCGCAAGTCAGAGGGGTTCACACGTCCTCAAGAAACACAAGAGGGCTTTCACTGCTTTGTGGGCTGTCGAAGGATGTGGATGGTGCGGTAATAGCACCTGCACAGAAAGAAGCCGATCATCCAGTCGCCGCAATGCGTTGGCAAAAACTTGTCTCTCTGAGGGAAATCGAGGACTGTGGCACAGCAGGTGTTCGATATTTTCGTCGGCGCCACACTGTCAGTCATTCCGATTAGTGTGGTGCAAGCTTTCTTGAAAGCAACTCCCAGCCAAAAAAGTGTCTTCCAAGTTTTCATTTTACTTCCACTGCTAGATAAACGCCTATGCCGATGACATCCAACCTCTCTGTAACGACAAAAATAGAAAAGAAGGGGGGGGGGGGGATTGATATAGGGCTCGTTTCTTTGTTTGACACGACCCAATAAAAACCAACAGGACATATCCATCTAAGGAAGGTATAAATCACGAGTTATTCGTACATTTTTGTCAAAGGCATAATTTTCAACTCGCACACTTCTGAGTGTTTGAGTTTTGCGTTATCCGCGCTGAATTTGGTGTCACTGATGAGTATACATTTACGGTTACAGACTATGCGTAGTTGTTGAGCGAACCGCTGCTTGATTTTCTCTGTGCCTGCATGAACTTTCTGATCATCTCGTATTGCACTTGTGCGCAGGTATCTATAAGCTTGAATCGCCTTGAGAATGTCGCTAACTTCACGGAGTTTGTGAAGGCATTCAGCCAGTTCGGCACCGAAATGGTTGAGCTGGCTCATCTCACTGGAGATAGACAGAACGTGAGTATTCCGCCCACTTTTTTCAAAACACTGTTTCGTGCAGCGTTCATGATTTATGACAGCAGTGATAAAGGCCGTACATTTTTTTTTTTGCACAGCACTTGACTTCTTATCATTGATGTGCTTCCCGTCTTGTAACGTAAATTTTAGAACCGCGTCTCATGTAGGCCACATCTGAAGCTTTTGCTGTTCTGCGTGCTACCTGGAAAAAACACAAAGCCAAGGCTGTCTAGATTACCAGCTCGCCCTTGTCGCAGTGTATTGCTACATCACTGTTGCGATAACTTTTTAAATTACCTAGATCCCTTCGTCAGCTGTAATTTCCTTCGAAAGCAATCACTCGGCCTCTCCGGTTTCGCTAATAGCAGTCAACTTACGCGACGCTGGGCAAAGTTCTACAGAAACAAAAGGCCACAGCACCTTCATTTCCTGTTGGTCGTCAATCTGGCGCTTTCGGTAATGCTCGTGGCTGTTGGCTCGATCGCAAAGTAGGCTGCCGTGCAGCGTTCTCTGCCCGTTGCCCTCGGCGCTTTCAGTGCGCGCCGATTGGCCAAGTCGGCGAGACTCGACGTGACCAGAGGTGCCGTACGCTGATGTTAGGCATTGCGCCTGGCGTTGCATTAAGCTGAAGCGATGGCAGAAAGCACATCCACTTTCATTTCTTTTCAACGCCGTGCGCTTAGTTTACACGCTTTATTCGGCTGCAGGACATGAAAGACGAGAAGAGGAGAGCCCAGATGGCTTCAGCGAGGATGATCCTCGAGCGCTCTACGATGCTGCTGCTCACCGCCTCAAAGGTACGCCACCATGTGTTAACCATCGCTGTTTTTTTTCCCCTTTCGGCTTGTCTCATTCTACTTGTGTGCGCGGCGTGTCTTTATTGAAAATGCAGCTATGGAATTGGTCGTGTAAACGCTGTCGCTGTGGTGGAATGGCCGTGAATCGGATGGTTTTATAACTTTATATAAATCCTAAAGCTAGGGTAACTTCTACAATTACAAATTACAATAGAAACCTATATGCACAAATATAAACAAATAGAAAAGCCTTACCGCAAATAATACGCGTGATCGTCCTAATTTTTTTCGTCGTCGTGTATCTTTCGTGTTGTTCTTGGCGCACCAAAGTCGCTTTTCATGTGTCGCGAATAGAAATTTCTTGGATTGAGTGGCCTAGCTGGCCGGATTATGACACATCGAGGAGGGAACGCTACTATCGCCTCTGTATGTACATACTTCGTCGAGCTTTTTTCATCATAGGCGACGAAAATTATGGCGACGTGGTTTCCTTCGTGATGCTTGGCTATACTTCTCCATTTGACCTGTGTGAAAAGTTCAGTGAAGGGATGCTGGATAAAGGCTTGTCATAAGTAAGAAGGCACGTGCCGGGTGCTGTAATGCGGCGCACATGCACGAGACCTCCAATGGTGCGCATGTATACGTGCCACGTTCACGCACGAAATGGGACAAGTCGACTCGTGGCACGCGACCAGAGCCGTAATTAGAAATTCCGGAGGATGAGCTGTCACTGTAATGTGGAGCTTCGAACTGCGGAGGTCAAAAAAGGACAGCGTTGCTACAGCGACGGAAGCAGTAGAGTCGCCCGGCTCTGAAGGATGGTGCGTGTGCAAATACACCCCCCCACACGTCACAATGCACGGCACCAGGTGCCCTTACGAGACTCTCGGAAGCTACGCGCTCATTGGTTCGTGCGTGATTTCGTCAGCAAACATGGCGGTGCCCACGACGATGCTGCAATAGCTGTGTAGGGTTCGTGCGTCGGGTCAAGGCCCAGCTGATGCAGACGTCGCGGCGAAGGCGAGAACAAAGTTGACGCTCGTATGCGTACTGGCAAACCGTGCGTGCCCCTAAGATGTGTGGGAAGAAGGCGCCATCAAGTAGTTGGTGCTACCAAGGCGCTACAGAAACGCTGTGCGCGCACCTCTGTCGACGCTGCCGAAAGACTCGTCGCTCCGTTTGCAACGATCGCCGAAAGCATCGAAGTCGGCGCAGATATGCAGTGAAAACTGGAAGGTGATGGTGTAAGGAGTTCATGTGCGGACTATATAACAATAATTGTAGCTTGGTAAGCCTTTGTTGAAGCTCAAAGATCTAAACGACTTGGTGTGCACACAGAATGAAGTCCATTTCATTTTTAGTTTCGCCATTAGGACTTCGCCACGTCCACTTACGGTTAGCCCGTTTTCCGATGAAAGTATTGAAGAACCGTAAATTATTACATTCCGCAAACTTTACTAATAACTCCACTCTGGAATTTCAACAGTCGATGCCATATTCCCCCACTGCATGGTCTACACACTGTTTCTTGCCTACTTTGGCATTGAAGTCACTACTCTACGTCTTCGTAGAAGCGTTCAATCAATTGTTTATCATGGCTCGATGTAGGCGCATAGGCCTGTGCCACCTAGCTTCATCTTGTACCTTTTTTCTAAACTTATTTACGATACTTGCCACCCTAATGCTATAGTATTCCTCGGTGTTATCAGCGATATTTTTGTGTATAAGAAACCCCACCCCTAGTTCTTTTAGTGTCAATTGAATTCCCCGGTAACATAGGACGTCAGTGAACGTACGTTAAAGAACGCCTGACGGTCAAAACTTCCGGAGCCCTCCATTGCGGTGTCCCTCATAATGATATCGTGATTTTGGGACGTGAAACCCCGGGCGTTATTATCAATATTGCCGACGTTAGCAGTTGTGTGCGCGGCGTGATTCGAAAAACTTGCCACGCCATATAATTCCGCTAAATCTCCTGTGTCAGCATCCGAGTTCCTTCCTCTTAATTATCCTTGTAAAAATCGATAGTGCACCACTAGAAAAAACAGGAATATCAATTACCAGACTATGACGCCGAGTTACACCACCGAACTTTTACCTTCACAGATTTGGTCGGATGCCGCCACCTTTATATGCCTCTATTGCAATGGAGAGTGAATATCTGCGTCATTTTTTTAAAACATGAAAATCGTTTACTAGTAAAAAAAAGAGAATTTTCGACGAACCCGCCCGAAGGATTGGCTTAAACTTATCACTTGCAGTGGTTCTTTCCTTTGGCGCTACTGTACTGGCTCTTCGAAACAGGGACGTTTGCGGTGCCGTATATGATTTTATACGTGACACAAAGCGAATTGAATGTTAAAGGAGCCCTGCAACACTTTTTGAGCATGGTCAGAAAACGCTGCTGATCAGTTAGTAGAGGATGACGATAGTTATAGTGCGAGAACAGAACGACGACACAGAGACAAGAGTCTCTGTGTCGTCGTTCTGTTCTCGCGCTATAACTATAGTCATGTCATACCAACTTGCCCGAGCTGCCACACTTATAAGCTAGTAGAGGCTTCTGAGAACACGGGAACCAAATGTTATAATGCAGCACGTGGCCTGGAATTCACAGTAAATTATCAAAGTCAACTAAAAATTGCATTCTCTTTCCTCGACAAATCACGGAAGACGCTCAAAAATCACTCGTAGAATGGCTGATTTGAACATGGCGCCTTCGGTCGTTACGGAGATTGCACTGAAAAACCGCGTATTCGAAGAAAAAAAAATGAAGTGCTCAAGGTCACGAGGCGCGCGTGACGTTTTTGTTTGCCCCTCCCATCCCTCCTTCCTTAGCTTCCAATGCTTTCGTCGGGACGAGAGAGAAAAGAGAATGCGATTGCAGCGTGTGACAAATCTTTGTAACTCTGCTCGTACTGGACGGATTATTGCAAATTTTGTGTCGTTGAACTTGTGAGGCAATAAGTTCTTCCTGTGAATTAGTTTCATGGTTACTCAAAAAAGTGTTTCAGGGCCCCTTGAAGGTTATCTGAATTGAGCGTATGTTTCAACCATATTGGTTGGTTGTGATTATGCTTTTTCTTCTTGATTATACTAATGAGCAATTTCGTAAGCCATCAATTTCTAAACCCATTTAGTACATAAAATATTTTCAGTTATAAAACAAGCGTCCGCCTGTTTTATGGCCACTTGCTCGCACTGGATTGCGCCATGTTATGGAACAACCAATCAACCAATTCAACGGAGTGCATGCAGACCATACATTGAATGTTCTACAGTACTCTACTCTTCTGAGATGCTGCATGCATTGGTGAAATAAACCACCTGGTGGCATAAATAAATGGAGGGGGGAAGTCTGATTCTTTTTGAATTCAGGCTAGGGGACACCGCTTGCGAGTGTTCTCCTTTGAGATCTTGCTTTCGAACATCATTCCTTGACAGTTAAATTGCATGACAGCCAAAAACTTGCAGGGTTCCCCACTCATTCCCCTATGAAGACTTCAAGTTAAGAGCCAACTTCATTTTTTTCTCAGCTGATATATTGATACTCTCCGCTTATCTGCGAAAGCTTTCTGTCTCCAGGATCAACTGCAAGCTTTCAGCCCTTCACCTGGTTTCGCGTGGCCTCCAGGATCGGCTCACATCGATTACGTCAACGTTACGTCATGATGACGTCACAAATGTTGGCGATAGGACGTTTCGCTGTCTTATTATATCGCAACTTATTATAGTGATGATGATTTTTTGCATCATTCGTAGCTGACGCTGACGTCTCATTTTCAAGTTTGATGAGGCATGTAAGGCTTTCACTTTACTATAATGCACTCTCCGTAGAACCAGCCCTGAACTTTGAAGCACTTCCAGAAAGCAAACGGAGCACAAAAGTGAACGCTGATTTCGGTTTCAAAAGGTCCGGTATAGCACGAGCTTTCTTAAATATCCTGGGTTCATTTATTTCTGATGTTCTCTAAATGTTCATATTTCTTGGCTTTAAAATGCAAGTAAAGAAATAATTTCCGATCATTTGGCATTAGTTATTTATGACGACGGTATGATGAATGCCATCGCCAATGAAATGTGAATCCAATTGCTGGACTATGCGTTACATTAAAGAAATTACCGAGGAGCATATGCTTTTCAGGCAAATTATCATGGGGGCTATTTCTGACTCGTATAGGGAACAGATATAAAACTAAAGGAGAAGTTTACCTATGCCCAGTTATAACAAAAATGGAGGAAATTTTCATTTGATGGTATGACCATATCATAATATATGGCAGTGTGCTAGAGCCCACCTTCTCTACACAAATATACTTTTCTACTATTGGCTACTCAGGTCTGTACGTTATCCCTCCTTGACCTAGTGTTGAGGCTCATGCATGCTCGCTTTTTGAATTTCATTTTGAAGTGTAGCATTAATATTTATATTATAAAAATAAAACCCATATTTGTGAAAACAAAAGAGGCCTTAATGGAAGAAGTGTGTCCCCCCTTGTGATTTTCCTAAATTTACGTCACTGATATCATTCAGTCATCGTGTCAAGGGAAATGTTATCGGCTGTGGCAAGTGATGATCCGTACTGTCTGTACACCACAAAATAATAGTATAAGGCATTACACTGTTCTAAGTGCTCTATGTCCTTCTCCTCCAGACACTGCAAGCGCCCTTGTGGTTCACCGGTTCTGTTTTGCCGTTTTTTTCAGTCAGATATGTACATTGAAGGCCAAGACAATTGGGAAAGCTCGTCTGGCCGGACTATTGCTTTCCATGCTAGACAATCTCGTAGGCGTTCATGTCGTTCCAGACAACTTGTGCAGAGAAGGGCCAGTGAGTGAGTGCATAGGCGTACGCACGGGATGGTCAACGGGGCAGCTGCCCCCCCCCCCCCCTAGTCGTCACCTATGAGGGGAGGGTGCAAGGGCTGTCCCATGCGTACATTGACTTAATAAGGGAGGGGGAGGCACCGCAATACCCCCTCTCCCTTTAAAGGGGAACCCTTCGCATGCCTTCGATTGTGTATTGTTCGCTGCAGGCCTGCCTGAGGCACCCGGAGTGCGAGACGGCGCGGGAGAACCGCGACACGGTGTTCCTGCAAATGCGCCGCGCCATGGACCTGGTGCACTTCGTGGTCAAGGACGGTGTAATACCGGAGCTTGCCTGCGCCGCCTCCTCTTCGTCCGAGTACCGCCGCAAAGGTGCCCGCAGGGGCTCCTGGCGCCTCGACGAGTTTGACCGGTGTGCCACCGTCCACAACGCCGTCAAGATGTTCGAGGTGATGGGCACTGCGACAATGTATCTCTGCTTGCCCACTCTGCAGTCTGTGCAATGCCTGGGCAAAGAAGTGTGTAGTTCTGTGTGCTAGCCATCTTATACCTATTAATTGCTATTTTCTAACCTGTTTTAGAAAAGCTCTGATGTAATAAGCTTCCTCAAATTACTAAAATGGCAGATGTTCTATTAGCTGCAGTTGGCTGACAATTTCTGTCATGCATAGCTTCAAGCTTGTCACAGGTAAAAGTATACATGGCAGCGACAATACTGCATGCTGCTCGATTTCGTTAGCCCTTTTTTTAAATTGTGAACTAAGACATTTAGAAGCTTAAAAACTTTCCGGGCTATCTTCGTATTTTGATGGTCTATCTAGGTCTCATTGAATTGGTGGCATGGTGGTGCATCTTCTGTCACAAAAGCATGAGTCCGCGAGCAGGAGAATGTGTCTAGAGAATAAACGACCAATGTGATGCAGGACCTGGTGGAGACAATGCGCATGACGCTGGTGGGGCCCAGCTGCCGTGAGCGGTTGTCGAGTGCCTTAGATGCGGTGGTGGAGCGCACGCAAGACTTCACCGACTCGGCCTACACGTCGCATGAGCACCGCGAGAAAATTCTCCTGCTTTGCGACAGGGCCAAGCTCGAGCTCAACCAGCTCCTCAGGATCGGCGTCAGCCTGGTATTACGCCACGCCTGCATGTCTCGCAGCTGCGCACCTTTTCGTTTTCTGGTGTTCCTTAATGGTGTGTCACACATCCTCTCTCACACTTGCAGGATCAGGCAGGTTGTACGTCTCCCAACGAGGACCTTGAAAATGCCATCGAGCAGACGCTAAGGGCTACAGCAGACCTCAAGCAACAGGTACGCTTCCCGGAGTATGCTCTGTTCTCTCGAACTACTCCTAATTTTTTTTGCCGTCTCACAGCTTCGGGATACAGCACTTGACCACGCGGATGAGCTGTTCAAAACGATGGACGAAGGTGAGCTGCTCAACAGGCTGAAGAATGCCTCGCTCGCCGGAGACCACACAATGCTCGAGGAGTATGCGGACAAATTCGCCGAGCATGCTGAACACGTCCAGGAGGTAAGTGCCTATCCTGCTTCCTAAAGGGGAACTACAGGTGCACGTTTATCGTTGCTGATCAGAACTCTGCACTTCGAGTGTCCTTACATGGTTGTCCCGTCCAGTATTTGTCGGCTACACACACGACCTTCCAGTGAAAGATCAGTGGCGCTCAAAGAGATCGATATAAGAAGGGTACTGTGAATGTGTGCCCTCTAGTACCTGTGATCTTGAACACCCCTCTGGATATTCACCGAATGCTAGCTACACACATTGTAGTAATTGTGCTATTATCTGGCAGGCAATCGCTACAAAGCAGCCCATATGTGAGATATGCTGCTCGTGTACGTTTTCTGTAATCACTGGCAATCCACTACCACTGCTCGTATCCAGCATCACAACTCGGTTATGTTGAGTCCATGAGGACGACCGTAAACCTGCGCTGAATGAGTAGCGAAAAATACCGAACTTTGGAATATCTGAAAGTAACTATATGCACCAGTATTCACACACAAGTAGGGACAGGTTATAAGCGTGCTTCTGCCAGAAAAAGAGAGTGTGGAAAAACCTGACTAGCACATTTAATAAGAAAGTGATTTCTTAGCGATTTCGCCACTACCCGAGTCAATCTTTCATGCTACACTCCTCTGGTACACATTTTTCGACAGGTGTGTCGGCTTCTCTATCATGTGGCAAGCACGGAGGCCCTCCAGGTGACTGCCAAAAATACGGATGCCTGTCTCAAGGTCTATGGCTCCCAAGTGAGTGCAGATCTTTGGCCATTACAACCATGAATTCATTTGCACTTCAATGCGTATAAATAAGAAAATACACCACCAGTTTGTACAATGAGTCCACAGGCACTTTACTTCATACTCGCGAAGGTTTCTCTGCATTAAACAACTGCTCAGGAATGCCATTCCTGTATTGTTATTTGCAGAGTGGGCGACCTGAACAACCGTCTGCTCTTCTGCCTTTCAGCGCTGAACTTTATGCATGTATGCGAGTGTTTTACGATTGCCGTATGCAACAGCGAAGCTGCTTAAACTGTCGGCAATTCGTGCTCGCTCTTAAAGAACTGTCATCATCATGAACCGGCATGCACTCTCTTTATTCTTTTTACAGTGAAGTGCACAACCACTTGGGTGGTTTTGCTTCACAGGAATTAGGCAAGCCCCACTACTGTGTGCAGCAGGTGCGAGTGTCAAACGAACACGTGAGAAAAGAAAAAAGAAAGAAAGTGACTGGAAGGAAGGGAGAAATAGAGATAAATAAAGGGATTGAGACCACAAAAGATAACAATTCAAAAGATAGAGAGAGAAAGAAATAAAGAGGAAGATAAAATACTAGAAATAAAGGAAACAAAAAATGATAGAAAGACAGAGAAGCATATTGAAAGAGGAAGAAATACATGAAAAGAAACAGACATGAAAAATAGATAGAAAAAGCAGAGGGCAGGAAAGAAAGAAGCAGAGACTGAAAGGGAAGTGGAAAAAAGAAATGAATAAAGAAAGAACGAGAGAAATACTAAGAAACCGATACACAACAGAGATACAAGAAACAGAAGGAAAAAAAATAAAGAGAAACAATTAAGAAATGACACCCAGCTGCACTTTTCCTAAAGGCTTGGCACCACTTGTGCAAAGCTGCCATAATATTACTTGTGGTCAAGGTGCATGCAATTTTGAAGCCTGGGCACAACAAGTAAGAGAGCTTTCATGTAACGTCTTTTGTTGTACGGGCACTCGATGTAACAGCTATAGTACGCACGAAGTGGCTACTGCCTGCAGGCGAGCTGAACATGCCCTGCAATCGACACAGGTGGTGAGTGCCTGTCAGACCCTGAGCACGCACCCGGTGAGCAAGATTGCCAAGGAGAACGTGGAAGTGTTCATGGAGGTTTGGCAGTCGCTAGTGAACGACGTAGCCTCGATATCTCGAGAGGCTAGCCAGCAGTGCCGGAAGCCTGCGCAGGGCCCTGACGGCGCGCGGTCTGTCTACATGTCGCTGCCAAGGCCCGGGGTAAGTGACCATTGGGAGTACAGCAGAATGCGTGACCATTGGGAGTACAGCAGAATGCAAACAAGCTTGTGCATTTGATGGCATAGTCAATCTTGCATTTCGGGTGCCGAGAGATGCTAGCCAGCGACCGTTGGGCTGGCACGGCTTGGTCGCCACAACCAGCTGTCAGAAGGTCACCCACAATGCTGACTTTTAATTCTTTAAAATTTTGTTAGCATCTCTACTTTAGCATCTCTAGGTAGCATCTCTACTTTAACGTTTTCCTGTCAAATGACGAGTTGCACACTCCTGTTTCGCTCACTAATTGCTACTCCTCTGTGATTGCTACGTTTAGTGTATACATAACGAGTGGTTTGAGTTAATAAAAAGTAAGCACAAAAAGTTTCTAACTGCTAAAGAATAAGACTAGCACTGCCTTTAACGCTGTATCACATTACTTTGACGTTTTGGTGTTGTAAAAATTAGAACTCTGGCAAACAGATAGTAGTAGACAGTGTTCTTCATTCGGAAGTCGGATATACAGTAGACTCTCAGTAAAATGGAAAACTGTTAAACGAAACTACTGCTTAAACACAACTATTGCCTTTGCAATGCTTGGTTTCGGGCTTGTATTCAACACCCACGCTCACTTCTCGGTAAACAGAACTCCTGTTAAGTGGAACATATTTTATTGGAACCTGAACTTGGCAACGTTTAACACTAGAACCTTATCTAATGAGGCAAGTCTAGCTGTACTATTCGAGGAGCTAGAGGGTGTTAAATGGGATATAATAGGGCTCAGTGAGGTTATCAGGACAAATGAGGCCTATACGGTGCTACAGAATGGGCACATACTTTGCTATCGGGGCTTGGCTGACAGAAGGGAACTGGGAGTGGGGTTCCTTATTCACAGAAAAATAGCTGGCAACATACAGGAATACTATAGCATTAATGAAAGGGTGGTAGGTATCGTAATCAAACTCAATGAGAGATACAAGATGAAGGTGGTACAGGCTTACGTGCCTACATCCAGCCATGACGCTTCAGTTGAAAGCTTCTATGAGGACGTGGAATCGGCAATGAGTAAGGTGAAAATGCAGTATGCTATACTAATAGGAGACTTTGATGCAAAGGTAGGGAAAAAGCAGGCTGGAGACCAGGCAGTGGGAGATTATGGCATCAATACTAGAAATGCCAGAGGAGAGCCACTAGTAGAATTCGCAGAACGCAATAATTTACGGATTTTGAATACCTTCTACCGAAAATGAGGAAACCACAAGTGGACATGGAGGAGCCTTAATGGCGAAAATAAGAACGAAATAGACTTTATAATGAGTGCACAACCAGGCATCGTGCAGGATGTGGAAGTGGTTGGCAAGGTACGATGCAGTGACCATAGAATGGTATGGTCTCGAATTCGCCTAGACTTGAAGAAGGAACTACAAAAACTGATACGCAAGAGGCCAATCAATGAGCTAGCATTGAGAGCGAAAGTAGAGGAATTCAGAGTCTCACTTCAGAACAGGTACTCGGCTCTCAGAGGAAACCAGCCTTAGCGTTGACACAATGAATGATAATTTGATGAGTACCAATGCGGAGCGTGCAGTGGAAGTTGGAGGTACGGTACTTAGACAGGACACTGGTAAGCTGTCCCAGGAGACAAAGAACCTCATTAAAAAGCGTCAAAGCATGAGAGTCTCCAGTACAATAGAAAAAATAGAACTGGCAGAGCTTTCTAAGTTGATTAATAAGCGTAAGGTATCCAATGTAAGAAGGTATAACATGGAGAGAATTGAACACACTCTGAAAAACGGAGCAAGCGTCAAAACAGTGAAGAGGAAACTTGGGATAGGCAGAAATCGAATATATGCACTAAGGGACAAAGAAGGCAAAATAACCAGCAATATGGATGGGATAGTTAAAATAGCGGAGGAGTTTTACAGAGACCTGTACAGTAGCCGGGACAACCCGACCTTAATACTATAAAAACTAGCAGTAAACCAGATGACACCCCACCAGTAATGATAGATGAAGTCAGAAAAGCCTTGGAGAGCATGCAAAGAGGTAAAGCTGCTGGTAAGGACCAGATAACATCAAATCTGCTGAAAGATGGAGGACAGATTGTGTTAGAAAAACTAGCCACCCTGTTTACGAGGTGCCTCCTGATGGGAAGAGTATCAGAGTCTTGGAAGAGTGCTATCATCTTAATACATAAGAAAAGAGATGACAAGGACTTGAAGAATCACAGGCCGATCAGCTTGCTCTCCGTAGTATACAAGCTATTTACAAAGGTAATTGCTAACAGAGTTAAGAAAACATTAGAATTCAATCGAACACTCTACTCAACAATCGATCACATTCATACTATCAATCAGGTAATAGAGAAATGCTCAAAATATAGACAACCACTATACATAGCCTTCATAGATTATGAGAAGGCATTTGATTCAGTAGAAATATCAGCAGTCATGCAAACACTGCGAAATCATGGCGTCGATGAAGCACATGTAAACATCCTGGAAGAAATCTACATACTTAGGGCAGGTAATAACCTAAGAGCCTAATCACGAGATTGAAGTAACTAGAAGAATAAGAATGGGGTGGAGCACATTCGGCAAGCACTCTCAAATTATGACTGGTAGATTGCCACTATCCCTCAAGAGGAAGGTATATAACAGCTGTATCTTGCCGGTACTTAGCTATGGAGCAGAAACCTGGAGGCTTACAAAGAGGGTTCAGCTTAAATTGAGGACGACGCAGCGTGCAATGGGAAGAAAGATGGTAGGTGTAACCTTAAGAGACAAAAAGAGAGCAGAATGGATTAGGGAACAAACGGGGATTAAGGGTATCATAGTTGAAATCAAGAAGAGGAAATGGACATGGGCTGGGCAAGTAGCACGTAGACAGGATAACCGCTGGTCATTAAGGGTAACTAACTGGATTCCTGGCAAAGGTGAGCGGGTTAGGGGGAGACAGAAATTTAGGTGGGCATGAGATTAAGAATATTGCGGGTATAAACTGGCAGCAGCAAGCACAGGACCAAGCTGACTGTAGGAACATGGGAGAGGCCTTTGTCCTGCTGTGGATGTAGTCAGGCTGATGATGATGATTATGATGATGATGTTGATTTTTTTGGTCCCTTCAAGTTTCGTTTACTGGGAGCCTACTGTACGTTACTAGTAATTACCTCTACGGCTAGCCTAATAATGTAGAATATTAGATGAAAAGGTAAGGACGAAATTATTGCTAGCTCTAGAGAGCAGCGAAAGCAAATAACCTTGTACGAAAGTAATAACATGTTTGCATCACTCACCACATAGCGCCACCTTGAATTGATAGACCCTGGCGGCTACCTTCGCATGTTATCGTGCAAACGGCTCTCAGAACAATACACACAACAAGAAGTCCACGCGACATGTACAGCTCATAAGTGGCTCCAGGAGCAGTTAAAGCACTGCGTTTGTGGAACGCAGGTGGTGCCGGTGGGCGGCTATGCTTTAGGAAAATAATTTAAATTCGCATTTTTATTTAGCTAGTGTACAATTGTTTTCGATGCTCAAGGTAACATAGCGTTGGACTTTTAAATCAAACAATAATACAAGCAATATTTTATGTTTATCTTGTGTAATACCGCCTCAGCATGGCCTAATATACGAGACCCAAGATGGGGGCACTAAGCTTGCATATAGCGCCTCGAATACTTCAAAATTGAGCGAGACAGAACGAAATTAGGGGAGAGTAAACGCGTGAGAAGGAGGGCCATGCAGAGTGCTAAGCTGGGCTAAGCTCGCAAAATCAGACGTTTGAAGCCACACTATTCTTTTTTTTATTTTTTTAAAGCAAATATGGAGTTTAAAACATTTAAGAGAAGACCAGGCGAGCTGCGAGTAATGTGAAGTTGAGAACTGATAGGCAGTCAGGTAGTATTCTACAGTGCTAAGAAAGTACAACAGAACTTCTACTTAGAGACATCATATCAGCCTAGCATGCAATGACAAATTCAGTTTAAATGCTGATGCCAGACTATTCCCAATCATATATTTACTTGAACTGCATAATGAAGGAATAGCTAAAAAAAAAAAGTGTGGTGTGCAGTTTCACTGGCAACCACCTGCCGGTACTAATGGCGAAAATAAAAATGAAATAGACTTCATTCTGTGTGCACACTCAGGCATTGTACTGGATGTAGAAGTAGTTGGCAAGATGCGGTGCAGTGACCATAAAATGGTAAGCTCTCTATTCACCTAGATTTTAAAATGCAAAGGCATAAACTGATGCACAAGAAGCCATTTAATGAGCTAGCAAAGAGAGGGAAAGTACAGGAATCCAGAGCTTCGCTTCAGAATATATTCGCGGCTCTAAACGAGGTAACCGATGTTAGCGCTTACACAGTGAACCATAATCCTACTAGTATCGTCAAAGAGTGTGCAGAGGAAGTCGGAGATATGGTCACTAGACAGGACACTGGCAAATTATCCCAGGAGACAAAAAATATCATTAAGAGACGATAAACAAAGAAAGCCTCAAATGCAACTGACAAGATAGAGCTAGTGGAGCTTTCAAAGTTAATCAATAGGCACAAAGTAGCCGACATCAGAAGGTTTAACATGGAGAGAATAGAGCAGGCTGTAAAAAGCAGCTAAAGCCTAAAAGCTGAGAAGGTAAATGTGTGCATAGGCAAAAATTGAATGTATGCATTAGGGGACAAGGAAGGCAATGTCATAACTAATATGAATAGGATAGTTGAGATGGCAGAGGAGTTCTACAGAGAGCTGTACAGAAGCCAAAACAAACATTGTAAGAAGCAATAATAGCCCAGAGGAATTTGACATTCTACCAGTAACGACAGGGGAAGTAATGAAAGCCCTAGAAGGAATGCAAATAGGCAAAGCCACTGGTGAGGATGAAATAACAACGAACCGGCTAAAAGATGGCTGAGAAATTGTGTTCGAAAAATTATCCACCTTGTATACAAAGTGTCCCTTGACAGGAAGGATACTAGAATCTTGGAAGAACACTAAGATCATCTTAACTCATAAAAAAAGAGACGTCAAGGACTTGAAAAATTACAGGCCAATCAGCTTACTCTCCGTTCTCTGCAAAATATTTACAAAAATAATAGCTAATAGAATGAAGATGATATTAGAGTTCAATCAGCCAAAGAGCCAAGCAGGATTTCGTACCGGCTACTTCACAATAGACTATATTCATACTATCAATCAGGTAATAGAGAAATGCGCTGAATACAACCAACCCCTATACAGTGTTTTTATAGATTACGAGAAGGCCTTTGACTCAGTTGATGCATCAGCAGTGATGCAGGCACTACAGAATCAGGGCATCGAAGAACCCTAAATAAACATACTGGAATAAATCTACAGCGGATCCACGGCCACCATAGTTCTCCATAAAGAAAGCGACAGAATCCCAATAAAGAAGGGTGTATGGCAGGGAGACACGATCTCTCCAATGCTATTCACTGTGCGTATACAAAAGGGTTTCAGGGCCCCAGATTGGGAAAAGTTAGGGATGAGAGTTAATGGAGAGTATCTCAGTAACCTGTGATACGCTGTACATATTGTCTTGATGATTAATTTGGGGGATGGATTACAGCTCATGATTACTGAACTGGACACAGAAAGAAGAAAAGTAGGTCTGTAAATTATTGTGCATAAAGTAATGTGCAGCAGTCTCAGCAGAAAATAGCACTTTGTGATAGGTGGAGAGAAGCTGGAAGTTGTAAAGGAATATATTTCTACTTAGGACGGATAGTAATTACTACCCATTCTAAGTAGAAATATAAACCGCAGAGCCAAATCATGAGAGAGAAATAACTAGAAGAATAAGGGCGGAGTGGATTACATTCGGCAAGCATTCTCAAATCATGAATGGTAATATACCACTAACCCTAAAGAGACAAGTATATAACAGCTGCATCTGGCCGGTACTTATCTGGTGAGCAGATACCTGGAGGCTTAGATTAAATTGAGGACGAGGAATCGAGTGAAGGAAATGAAAATGATCGGTGTAACTTAAGAGACAAGAAGAGAGCACAGTAGGTCAGGGAACAAACCGTGGTTAAGGATATCACAGTTAAAATCGAGAAGAAATGGACATGAGCAGGGCACGTAGCGCATAGGCAGGGTAACCACTGGTCATTAAGGGTAACTGACTGGGTTCCCAGATAACGCAAACACACGAGGGAGATACAGGAGGTTGGGTAGGCCGATGAGATAAAAAAGTTCGCAGGTATAACATGGCAGCAGAAAGCATAAGATCAGGTTGATTGGCAGATCACGGGAGAGGCCTTTGCTCTGCATTGGGCGTCGTTAGGCTGCTGCTGCAGCTGCCGCTGATGATGATGATATTTCTTTGTTTCACATGGCACACTTTACTCAACAAAAAACGATGGCAGTGTTTAATGGGTTATGTAATGTTAACATTTGATGCATGTTACTACACGTTCCAGCTCCCTTATCCACTCTGAAAGCTATGGCTTCTGGGAATTATGACTGCAGGTAATGTGGGTGAATGAGATGGTTGCATCTCATTATTTTGAGCTGTTTCATTTACTGACTTGGTAAAGTGCAATATTGATAAGAGTGTACACACAAATTTTATGTTTCAAAATTTTTTGAGTAAGAGCATTCAGCTTTTACTAGTGAAGAAAATGGAGTAGCAGCTAAAGAGACAGAGTAATAAACAATATATTTTTTAGACATTGAAATACATAATCATTTAAAGTTACGGGCACATTTCTATCTGTATACTTTCTTGCCCGGCATGCATGCATGAAACATGGTTTTGTGTGTTCTGGTAATATTCATGATGCAAGAATGATGTACTATATGAGTGAAATATTTTCTCTGTAGTATAGCTGCACTACAGCTATTTAGCTAATTTCAGTTTTAAAAGAAAAAATTTGGGAAAAATTTTAAGTGAACATGGCCAATCTCAATATTTGCACACTCTCTCACAGTGCACATCGTGCACACTCTGCATGACCCATAGCAATGTGATACTGACGTGTCTCTTCATTGTTTCCTCCTCTCATCTTCTTTTCTTCCCTCTTGCCCTGCAGCGCCATGGCACAACAAGCAAGCCCTTAAAGCCCATGAAGCTTGACACTGAGGTATCATTTTACGTTTTCATTTTTTTATACCCTTTCCTTTTATTTTAGTGGTAAAAGCACACATACACACGAAAATAGGAAAAAAAAGAACAAAATATGCAAGTGCGATGAAAACCTCCAGTAAGTTGCAAAGAGCCTGAGTAAAATATTAGCTACAAAATCACAGAATTGTTCGTAATGATTAATGCTCACAACGTTGGCAAGAAGGCTATTCCAGTAGCGAGGGTTTCATGGTAGAAATGAACGATAACAGTACATGATATTACATAAAGCTAATTCGAGTTTGTGACGATAATCAGTGCGATGGGATACATAAAGCGGTTGCGAGATTGATGATCATGTACTGCAGGATGATAATACACTTTGTAGAACTACGCATTGAGTAACACTTTTCTTTGTGACGATATTGATGGAAGGGAAAGGTCCTATTTCATAGAAGTTATACTGGTGGCGTGGCCTGTAATTAGCAGTGAAAAAAAAATCAGTACTTAAGTCTACGTGGGTAGGGCTCCACACAAGCATTGCATACTCCAATTTCAACTGGATCTGTGTTTCTAAATAAGGAATTTAAAGGAGGAAGAAACATTTTGAAAATTTCTGTGATGATAGCTTAACATGTGATTAGCTTTGTTAATTAAGTGCTAAATATGAGTTGACCAGATTATTACTTCATATTATAACAGTGGATCAGATTCACTTCAGATTATTCTTGCTTTACTTGAATCTCATTCAGGCTCTTTTGTACTTGTGACAGCTAGCACACTTGGACTGTCAGCTGTTGCATGCGTACTTTCGAATTTCTTTCAACTTCATTTGATGAGTAGGCTACATCTATGAGGTCTGAAAGGCTAGTCTATTCTGTTTTCATTAATATGTGCTAACATGCACAATAATTTGTTTGTCAGATTGAATAAGCTAAAGAAGTATACATGTTTCCCCAACGTTATCCAGAGTTTGTGCATGCGCGTGATATTTTATGAATACTGTATGTAGTATTAGGGGCATAGCTCCGATAATATTTTAGGGGGGGGGGGGGGGGTGAGAAAAGGGTATCTGACCCCTTTATATATGTGTCTGTGTGCTTGTATGTGCACTTGCATATATATACACTCATAAAAACTAAAAACTTGGGGGCAAGAGGCACTTGTATAGGCAGGCATGTCGAAGGGTAGCCATTTGTAGACAACCAAAAAATTTCAATAGTGAGCGAGCCTGTGCAAAAGCATTCACTGTGTCAGGATCGCGTTATGTTCTCAGTAGCATTTTTTTGTTCCGAAAGCCAGTCGCTGCACGGTTCAGGACTTTTTAAGTTGTCATATCTAAAGCAGTCACTTCAGTTCTTTATAAACACAGCACATTCTCTGCATACAAATCGGTTTGAGGGGAATTTTCCTCTGAATGTTTGACTTGGCACTAGCCCCAACATACAAATTTTAAAGGCCTGAAATGAAGAAAAAGAAGCGGGCACAAGCAGCCTCCTGTGAAATGACTGTCAGAAAGGATAATGAATAGTTCGTTGTCAAAGGATCAAGACCTAAGTCAAGCTTTTGAAGAACATTCCAAGCCTAAGTCTGTGCTCCCCATGGAGCAGGCGAGGGCCTGACCCCCCTTCTCCAATACTCTCCACCTATAGGTTAGAAATAGTGGAAAATGGAGTGGAACAAAGCAATAGTGGAACAAATCTCATGAGTCACCTTTGTCAGCGAATGTCATTCATTTGTTGGGATGACAATGTGGCTTGTTTGGCGTACAAATATTAAAGCATAAATTTCTTGGACGGACTGTATGTGGCCGGTGGCAGTTTCTTAGTTTTAAACAAAGTAGAAGTGAAAGACAAAAGGAAATCTAACTTTATATAATGCATGCAACAGCAGGTATCCCCTCCATCTAATAAGAGCCAGTGAAGAAGGCCTTCTAAAGCGCCCCACACTCAATCACGATGTCGTTTTACTATGCCTTGTGAGAAAAGTGTGTCCCAGCGGGAGGAGTGGCTGGCGCACGAGTCGAGTCTAGCGCAGTGCATCAATTCACAGGAGCAGGCCAAGATCGCCAAGCTCGGCCTCGAGATGAAGCTGTTGACATCGGAGATGGACGCCGAGACGGAGAAGTGGCCTGCCGCCGAGAACGACATCGTAGGCCGGGCACGCGCCATGTCTCAGATGGCCTTCTCCATGTACCAGTTCACTCGAGGAGAGGGTGACCTCAAGACCACACAGGTATGTTTCCCGACGTCATTTACTAGTCGGTCACGTGCATTAGTGCATTTAGTGGGGCACCAAACAAAACTCTAGAGCTTTACTGGTGACATTACAGTCCATGAATGTCAAATGTACTTACTTTCACTAGGAGTAGACGCATTATGGTAGGTTGGAAATGATGTCAAGCAGCTGTCTCTGGTTCCAAAGACTGCCATGTTCAAAAGCTGATAAGCAAATTTAACTAAAAATTAAACTTACCTTTATTAGTAAGAAAATCAAGTGAGTGTAGCAGTATAGTAGTGTGGTAGTCCATATTCACTGTAGATTCCTGAACAGTCATTTGCACATATTCACAAATGCTCAATGCAAATGCAGTACACTGTTACAAATAAAGGAGGAGGAATTGGCGGTGCACGCGAGCAAGAGCCACGGGCGCTGGTTCGCGCAGTTCTTCTGTTTACCTTTGATGTAGCCAGGCATACAGGTCTGGGTCTCCTCTTCATTTTCCACACTTCGTTCTGGTGCCAAAACCCGGAACACTGCAAATATTTCTCTAGATTTTGCAATTTGGCCCTGAAATACTTTTTAAGTAACCAAGAAATGGATTCACTAAAAGAGCTTATCGCTTCATAAATTCAACGCCTCAGAAATTTTAAGAATCCGTTCAGTATGAGCGGAGTTGCAAAGATTTAATGCGTGCTGCAATCGCAATCTCTCTTTTCTCGTCCCGGCAAAGAGCTGGAAGCTAAGCAGGGAGGAATGGCATGGACAAAAAAAAAATGTTCCGCACACCTCGTGACCTTGAGAATTTTATTATTCTTCGAATACATGGATTTTTCAGTGTGATTGTGCACACACGTGTGGACAACTCGTGGCTCTCGCGGCGATTCTTGTCATGACTGAGCGCGCCATGTTCAAATCAGCCAATGGCTGATACGAGTGATTTTTGAGCTTCTTGTGTCATTTGTCGAGAGAAGAGAAGGCAATTTTTAGCTCACTCTGATAATTTATCGTGCATTCCATGCCCCGTGCTGCGCTCTAATATTCTGCTTGCGTGTTTTCGAGAGCCTCTACAACCGATCGGCAGTGCTTACTGACCGTGCTCAAGAAGTGTTGCAGGGCCCCTTTAATGTTGGCAAGAACAGAACATTGTGTTCTTACAAGATTTCCTTAGCATCAAATGTTCTTCATGAACAGTTTACTTACTTTCTTTTGTTTGTTTGTTTTATATTTACAAAGCCAGCTTCTTATGTTTGATTCTCCTTCACTGTATGCATGCATTGACTTCTCTGATCAGTTAAATGAAGTTGCGACTCAGTTGTTGCTGCGTGCGATTTCACAGTTCTTTATGGTTTGCACTGTTCATTACGCTATGAATACCTTTTGAATCAATCTCAATTTGTTATTGTGATTTAGAGGAGAGAGAGAAAAACATTTCTTTGTGATTTTTGCGAGAATATTGTAGCTATAGCAAGCAGATGTCATAAGGTATTTTAGATAGTTGGCATCTATGTTCTCTTGCCTTCAGTAAGTAATCCAGTCACATTTCGCTCTTTTTTAGGACCTCTTCACTCAAGCTGAGTTTTTTGCAGAAGAAGCCAACAAGCTCTACAAGGTTGTACGGCAGTTTTCCTACCAGGTTAGTTCATATCTGTGTTGCTATGCCTTAGCAATTCACCCACACTGAACAACATGTAATGTCCTATAACATTTGAAAAGGTGGCACATTATGTCAAACTGCCATTACCACAACATCTTACTTGGGAGCAGCAAAAAATATTTACAATCACGCCATATCTGCTAACGTTTTAAAGCATTGTTTTATATTGCTTCTTGTTGAAGCCATGGACTAGGATGTCACCCACATGTTGAGCCATAAAAGCACTGTAGGTGCCCCAAAGGTGATTGGGCTCTGCTAGCATCTTTTATTGTGCAGCTAATGCTGTTGTGTGTGTGTATGTGTATGTGTGTGCGCATGTGTTTGTGTGCATCACTTGTTTTCCTTTCCCTGTTTTTCTGTCATAATCCCCAGTACAGGGTAGCAAACTAAGAATACAGTGCCGTTCCTCCCCTCTCTTTTTTTTTTGTCTCTCTCTATAATTTTCTATAGACGGTGATGAAGAGCTGTGGGATAGTTATAGTATGATGACGATGTAGAGTACTTACGGGCTGAAACAGGACAATTTAGGGCTAAATAATGCACATACTTTCATTTACATCATTGCCAGTTCAGGTCATATTGGCATAATTTCAACTGGAACGTGTAGTTAAAGGGACACTAAAGGCAAATAACAATTTATGTCAGAGTGAAAGCTCAATGTATGACAATGTGTAAAATGACAACATAATCAACAACAATGCCCTACTTACCGAGAAATTAAACTAAATGCACGAGAAGACATGCACCACGAGTAGAACATTCTCAAAATGATCCCGATGACGTCAGATTTACCACCTACAAATAATCACTAGTAATCGAACTAGCTGCAATAAAAAAAAGAACTTTCTGTGCATCAAGAGGCATAATAAAATTTCCCTTGTTCGTTTCTGTTCGATTTATAGAAAAAAGAATCACTGGACGTTTCTATAAGGAACGGCGCAAGTGGTTCAGAAGTTTCATTTTCGCCAGGGTAAACTGGACAGGTCATGCCATCTAGCCGGGTCCTCTTGAACCAAGCACGCTTGCAATCACGAAGGCCATGGCAGAAAATTGTTCAATGGCTGTTGCTGCTGTGGCTCCCACAAATTTCACTCTGCTTCTACTAGTGTCAGTGGCCGCGCAGACAAGCGGATTTGTCTTCCTTAAGGCTAGAACAGAACTGTTCTGTTTTAGCCTTAAGGAAGACAAGCCTGCTTGTTGAAACGTCGGCTCAACACAACCCCTGTTTACAGATTTTTCGTTACTTTGGGGCGGGTAATTTTAAGTGCGCTGACGCGATGCGAACCACTAAAGAGTGGTTTTATTTCAAAATATGCCCTTCCTTAGCACAAAAACAGCACTATGAGGTTTCTGGACCACTATTTCATCAATCAGCATTGACTTAATATTTGCCTTTAGTGCCCTTTAAGTAAAATTGGCAAAAGCCTACACTAACAAGAAACGATGTCCCTTCATAAAAATCTGTCAGAGGCTGACAAATAGGGCCACTATTGCTTTCACCGAAGAACTTCTCCACAAAAACTACCCAGAAAAAGTAATGTAGGGCAAAGTGATGCCTCAGTCACGGTGATCGTCGTAAACGTACACGGCGAGCATGTCACTTATTGTGTGGTTCAGCCATTCAGTGAGCATTCAGTGAACATTGGTACGCGGTAGTCATCCTGTGTTCAGTGAAACACAACTTGACTGAGTTAACTCAACTCAGTTAACTTGTACGAAGGATCAGTTATGGCTGGGTTGGTCGCATTGCGATGGACACAACATGCTTGAGGCCCATATACTGTGCCATGTTAGTGCATGTTATGGAACTCCAGATAATGAAATTTCTGGAGCTCTATACTACGGCATGCCTCATATTTAGACATTGGATTTTAAGCAAAAGTTAATTCATTTTTTTGTGCTCCTATCACCGTATTTTTATATTCAAGTATGAATTAGAGGAAGGGTGTTCGTAGGGTTTTTATGGTACCTATGGGCCTTTTCTGACATTTGTGCATACATGCCTATTTTTCAAAATCTGTGCTAATATGGGCACCGGTTTTACTTATACAAACACCTGTTTTGTGCTCATATGAACACCTAAATCGGTGCCTATGCAAACGCTTGAAGTATTGCTTTTGGGTGCATTTTAAGACCGTTATTCATATTACCGAGCAACATTGTTCTGAATGCTATAGGCTTCAACCTAGCCCTCTAGTTCAGCTGATTGCTGAAAAACAACCCGCTAGCAGCGGTGAAGTGGGATGTGCCAGCCAGCATGCACCACTGCGCTTACATGGCTCAAGCAGTTGGTGACTGCGAAACTGCGTGAAGACGTCAGGGTAAAGGATAGTGACGAGCAAAAGAAGAAAGCAAAATGTGAAGGGCAGGCAGCTTTTATTTTGTTTGTAATTAATTTTCAGGGTGTGTACTACCAAGGGAGAAATAGGCTCTGCCCAATTTGACCCGGCCACTCGAAGGCACCCCTCCGTTGTCGGCTTTTAGCGGTCTGGCTGTGTGCTGCTTCTCTGCCCTTCTCAGTAATGCAAAAAAGAGACACCCAAGGGTGTGCTTATTCAACAGCGCAAACTTGACATGCCATTGGACATAATAAATTGAGAAATTGTGTTCTGTGAATCATGTGAAAATTGCACAGCTGTGTTTAACTGTTGGCGCCTTTGTACTGTCGTAAACAAAAACTTTTTTTTTTTTTTTCGTGTTGCAAGTACAGGCTGCACATGTCTCCATTTGAAATATTTACATTTATGTTAAAATTTATTGTACAAATGTTTATAATGTAGAAGGCCTAAAATGTTTTGCCTGGCTATTTTAGTGCATAAAATGCACTTTTTCCATGACTAAAAATCCAGCCTTTGGTCATAATAATCATGATTTTGGCATGTAAAACCCCATTTGATGTTATTATTATTATTATTATTATTATTATTATATTATTATTATTATTATTATTATTATTATTATTATTATTATTATTATTATTATTATTATTACTTGCTTTGCGTTCACAGAAAACACGAAGAAATAGAGAAAATAGAGAGAGATGAGGCTGACAACTGCCACCTATAAGGGGCAGTTGTCAGCCTCATAATATAATATTATTATTATATAAACTGCTAAGCTTATGATTGCTCAGTGAAAGACAAAACTGAGCATATTACTTGTATCTACATAAAGCATAATTCGGGATATCGAAATGTCCTTTTATAGTGTGTCATAGCATGCGGCTCTTGCTAAATCACTTGCAAAGCTTTTCATTTGCTTGTTGTAGTTTTTTCAGCTTGTTTGCAGTTGAAGGAAATCGAGATATTGACACATTCTTAGCAGTATATTCCTTCACACCTTGTTTGAGATCAAAATGAACTGGTGTACCTATGTATGCATGATGTACAAATCACACTTTTGATTCAAGTGAGGCGATTTCCTTGCACTATATATATATATATATATATATATATATATATATATATATATATATATATATATATATATATATATATATATATAGTCCTGTGCTTGGACTATGCATGCCTGGGATAGGTACACTACTTGTTTGGACATTAGGTGACTTTTCATTTTCAAGAACCTCTGATGGTCAAGTTGTGTACGCTTCTGTGGCAGGTTCCCTCGGGACAGCACAAGAAAGAACTGCTTGAGTTTCTGGACAAGGTGCCCACATTTGTCCAGCAGCTACAGTTCACGGTGAAGAACCCAACAGTGGGGAAGGCGGCTACTTTTACCAAGGTGATTTTTTAAATGCAGCGCTTTTGAGAAATAATTAGGGGTGTGTGATTATTTGAGCTTTTAATACAAATCAAATATACTTATTCGAATAATACGATTCAACTTTTGTACAGTAGAATCTCAGTAAACAAAATTCTGTTAAATAGACATGCTGCTTAAATGGAACAACTTGCTCTGATATGATTGGTTTCATACTAGAATGCTGCAACTCACTTCACCTCTCAGTAAACGGAACAGTAAACAAATTTTCCCGATCCTTTCAGGTTCTGTTTAATGAGGGTCTACTGTATACCTAGTATTTAAAGTTTCGAATAATTCGACTGCAGGAATATCTAAAACGGGACAAAGACCAATGGTGCAACTTGGTTAGGGTAGAGTGGCTAAAACTAATGCTAATGCCGTTGAAGTAGACCTTTCTTTAAAACTTTCACTAGTATTCTGGTTCAAAATCGGGCTCACGTTTATTTTGAAGGTGATATAATTTGCACACCTACAGCGTCTCTGGCTTTGATCTGTGAAACACTCGGTGATTAGCTTCACATGCAAAAATTTTTTCACGCTGCGCTGAGTCGCCGCTTCCAAACTGCCCAATTCATCAGAAACTCCCATCATTCTGGCACACAGCTAAAGCACTGCTGGGAATGAGTGCCTAAGGATTTTTAAGTCCGAGCACTCATGACAATGAAGCATAGGGGTATCGTTTTCAGATCAGCCGTATTGCCCACCATAGAAAATAAAAAAGTGACAGTTTTGCCACCAGGGTGAAGTAACGAATGCGACAGCATGAATTTACAATATCGTACCAAGAACAACAAGCAGCTAGATACTTTCAGCACACCGCTGCAACAGAAAGAAAGACGCTTGAAGAGAATTCATAGGTATACACAGGACAAGCGTGAATTAACAGTTGTCATAGTTGGTACGTGTTTGTATGGAACGCGCTGCAAATATCCACAATGCAGAAGCCAATGCTGTTTGATTTTTCTTTTTATTTTAATAAGCTGTAGCACGAAGAATGACTCCTCGGCGTTTCCTGCCATGCAATAGCATTTGATGCCAAGTGTACCCCACGTTTTTTTTTCTCTTTTACATCACGAGTGTTGCAGAAGGGGGCCACTTTATTGTGCGTGTCTCAAAGGCAATTTTGAATTGGAAAGAAAATGTAAAAGTGATGGTGATAGAAAATACGCTTAAGCCATTTCGAGGTATGTGTACCGCAAGTGGTAAATGGTGCATATGAATAACTTGCCATTTTATCACCGGCACTAGCACGGCGCATGGTTTTGTTGGCCAGCACAGCGGGCTGCAGAGCAAGGGCTCACTGGTTTAAATCTTCTTGAATATGCTTCTTTGGAACTTTTCTCTGCTGATTTATTTTTTTTATATATATGTTGTAGGCATCTATTATGCGCTTCATCCTCATCTGGACAGCAGTCAATCATCATCACCTGTTCTAGCTGACAATCATCATCGTCTTTGTACGTGCGCCTCATCTTCGGGTCCATTGTGCCCGTTCGTTCCCGAGTTCATCGCCAATAAACCTGGTTACAACCGAGTCGTCATACGTGGTGGAGGTGGATTGACGATCCCGGTCCTCTCCTCACAACGCCTACTCACTAGAGCTCCGTTCAGGCCGCCGCTTGGACCCTCAGTCCGCTGTGTACGCGGACGCCCTTTCTGCTCCCGTCCTGCGCCGCTAGCCCCCTCCTCTTTACATCGTAAACCACCAGCGCGACCCTCCGATCTTCGCTGGTGTCCGCGGCGAAGATGTGGAGGACTGGCTCGATAACTACGAGTGAGTAAGTGCAACTAATCACTGGGACGACTCTAACAAGCTCTGCCGAGTATCGTTTTATCTCACGGGCATTGCCAAGACATGGTTCTTGAACCATGAGATTGACCTCACCGACTGGCCTGCCTTCAAGCAGCAGCTTCGCCAAGTATTCGGCACACCTGCCGTTCGATCCGCTCAAGCGAAGAGAACCCTTGATACTCACCATCAACATCCCGGCGAGTCGTACACATTGTACATCGAGGATGTCCTTGCGCTTTGCCGGCGCGTCAATTCTTTGATGTCCGAGTCAGACAAGCTCCGTCACGTACTGGAGGGCATCGGAAGCATTGCCTACAATGCCCTTGTTGCCCAGAATCCTTCTACTGTCGCTGACGTCGTCTCTACGTGTCAGCGTCTTGACGAACTTGATTCTGTTCACCTTCAGTCGGGCAATAGCGAACACCGCCCAGCAGACCGGGACCTGTGTGACATGATACGGGAGATCATACGCGAAGAACTCCAATCAATGGGCTTCTCACCACCTTCTCCATCTGTCACGCAGCCTTCAAGCATGGCCTTGCGTGAGATCGTAAGGGAGGAACTGACATCATTCACCGGTTCAGCCCACGTGCAGCCACCTTCGTCCATCCGTAGCCCTCCACTACGGCGTCTCTCATAATCATATGGTGGTTTTGGGACGTTAAACCCCACATATCAATCAATCAACCTTCGTCCAGCCCTCCAACGTACGCGCAAGTTGCGGCCATGCCTCCTCGCAACGTAAACTCTACGTTGCCGCTGCCATCGTTCACGTTGGTTGCTGTGGCACCACAGGTCCACTTCCGGCCAATGCCACCCAACCCTCCGTCTGCCCACTTGAGTGCGCTATCTCCCGGTGCGCCGAACGCCTTCTACTACCCGCCTTGGCACCAGTCTCACCTAACATCTTTTTATTGTAGATATCGTGGCCATATATCGCCGCATGCGCCGGCAGGACGAGCGTCGCAGGTACGACATGCGCGAACGGGACTTTCCCAGTGGGGATTCTTACGCCCGGCGTTATTCATCTGGACAGCAGCGGTCTCCATCTCCACCCACATCGACTGAGACGTGGAACACTTACCGTTCAAGCCGACGCCGATCACCTTCGCCCTTTCGTCGCTCCTCCTCTCCTCTTCCCCCAGCCTCGTTTACCACTGACAACTGGTAGGAAAACTAAATGATGCAGGTTTCGGAGGAGAAACTGCATTTAATAGTAGGACTGATCATCCCCTAGCACGTCCGTTCAACATGGTTTCTGTTATGGCGGAAGAAGTTCTCGTGGATGCTTTGATGGACACCCGTGCTACAGTTTCTGTGATTAGATATGATTTGTGCAAACACCTAAAAAAGGAAATGACACCTTATAATGGACCTGCTCTAGTCGAAGCCCAGGGGAACACTATCCGCCCTTTTGCTCTTTGTACTGCTCGTGTTTTTATCGATGACATACTGCATTACATCCAGTTCACTCACCAGCTAATTCTAGGGTGGGACTTCCTATCTTCTTCTTCGGCCACTATATGTTGTGGTGAACCGATTCTGCACCTAACTAATACGGACTCTATGTTCGACGAAGGCGTTTACAAGCCACTACGCCTGTTCTGGAATTACCGCCACATCAAGAGCGAATTGTGACCCTGACCTCTAAGGACATCGACCACGCTGACGTCTTGGTGTCCCCTTCGTCGACTTGCATCGCTAAAGGCATAGCCCTTGCATCAGGTGTCATACGCTTTCACCATGGCTCCGCGCTCGTCATCGCTATGAATGTTACAGCGCAGAAAGTTCTCCTGCCAGAGGGCACTGCAGTAGCCTGTCTTGTGGATGCTGAGCCTGTCAGCGTCACGCCACTTAAACCTGCCTGTACCAACGACCCTTCTATGAGTAAGCCTGGTTCTTCCTCTCCCTTCACAGCACTTATCAGTGATGACCTAACAGCTATGCAGGCGCAGCAGTTGCTTGCTTTGTTAACGAAACACGTCGATTTTTTCGACACCTGCTCCTCGACGTTGGGCCGAACTACCACTGCAGCGCATCGCATTCAGACCGGGGGAACATCTATTGTGCATCGCCGCCCGTACCGCGTGTCTCTCGCTGAGCGAAAAACATCGAGGAAAACGTCGCTGACATGCTCCAACGAGAAATAATTCAGTTCATCAACTAGCTTTTGGTCATCCCCTGTTGTTTTGGTACGAAAAAAATATGGCTCCATGCGCTTTTGCGTCGATTATCAGGCACTTAACATCACACGCAAAGACCTATACCCCATGCCACGCATTGACGATGCCCTTGATTCACTGCAAGGTGCCGAATACTTTTCAAGCCTTGATTTGCGTTCGGGATATTGGCGAATTTCCATGCACGACGACGACAAAAAAAAAAAAACGGCATTTGCAACCCCTGATGGCCTATACGAATTTGACGTGATGCCTTTCGGGCTCTGTAATGCGCCCGCGACGTTTGAACGCATGATCGACACCGTCCTGCGTGGTCTAGAATGGAAGACACGTCTTTTTACCTTGATGACATTATCATCTTTTCATCAACGTTTTCTCAGCACCTGAGACGCTTGGATGACGTCTTAACTTGCCTCGCCAGTGCGGGTCTGCAGCTCAACACCAAGAAATGCCGTTTCGCCACCAAATCTATGAAGGTTCTCGGTCATGTCATGAGCAAGGATGGTATTCGCCCTGACCACGAAAAGATCACTGCCGTCCTTCGATTTCCACGCCCCACAAGACCTATGGATTTGCGAAATTTTATTGGCCTCGCATCCTATTTTCGTCCCTTCATACGAAATTTCGCTTCAATAGCTGCGCCACTTCGCAAACTACTTGCTTCTAATGCACCCTTTGTGTGGTCCGAAGAATGCGAGTCGGCGTTTGAACTATTGAAGAAAGTTCTCACGTCAGGGCCTGTACTCTGCCATTTTGATGATACTGCCCCGACACTCCTGCATATCGACGCCAGCGGTTGCGGCATAGGTGCTGTTCTCCTCCAACGCGATAACTCTGGACGGGAAAGGGTCGTCGCATACGCTAGCCGTGTGCTTACGTCTACTGAAAAGAACTATACCATCACTGAGCAAGAGTGCCTCGGTGTGGTTTGGTCCATGCAAAAGTTCTGCCCTTATCTGTACGGCTGTCAATTCACCATCGTAACGGACCACCAAGCCTTATGCTGGCTTTCTACAATGAAGAACTTGTCCGGGCGCTTGGGTCGTTGGATTTTATGCTTACAGGAGTATCAGTTTGAGATTATTTATAAATCTGGCAAAAAATAAGACGCCGACACTCTTTCTCGTTGCCCACTACCTACGGCTTCGTTCGACACTCCAGCTGCCTTCTCCGACGGCACCAGTGTGGACGTGACTCCCAGTTCTGTTGCCTTGCTCGCCTCGCTGTACCAGCCGCCAATCGACGATGACCAACCCTTCAGTTCTCGCCAGCAAGCTGACCCGTACTGTCGGCGCATTATAGACCACCTCTCAGGAGTTACGCGTCCACCCAATGCATGGCTCCGTCGACAACTCGAGCACCTCAAGCTTCAGGACGGTGTGCTGTATCATCAAATTTATCATCCTGACGGTCAATGCTGGGTACCTGTTCTGCCACGCGCTCTTCGGCATCATGTACTTAACGCCTTTCATGACGATTGGACTGCTGGCCATCTCGGCTTTCACAAAACCTACGGCCGCATTCGAAGCCGCTTTCATTGGCCTGGCCTTTCTACCAGCGTAGCAAAGTACGTGGGTTCCTGCTCTCCGTGCCAACTTCGCAAACTTCCGACAACTTCAGCTGGTCAATTACAGCCAATGAAGTGCCCTACAACACCTTTCGAGGTCGTCGGTGTCGATCTTTATGGGCCCCTTCCTGTTTCTGGCGCTGGAAACAGATGGATAGTCACCGCCGTAGACCATCTGACACGCTACACCGAGACAACTTCAGTAGCTACTGGTTCAGCATCAGAAGTCGTTGACTTCGTCCTTCAGGCCATAATTCTACATCATGGTGCTCCTCGTGTACTTCTAAGTGATTGTGGAAAGGTGTTCTTATCACAGCTTTTAGGTGAAGTTATTCGCGTTTCTGGTACTACACAAAAAACGGCGTCTGGCTACCACCTTCAAACAAATGGTCTGGCCGAGAGATTTCATGGAACCCTTGCCGACATGATCGCCGTGTATATTCAAGCGGATCACAGAAACTGGCATAAACTTGTACCGTTCTTTACTTTCGTCTACAACACCGCTGTTCAGTGCACAACCGGCTACTCACCGTTTTATCTCGTTTACGAACGTTCACCTACTTTCTTTATCGACGTTTTGTTCTTCACCAGTAATGGCCTTCCATCACCGTCTTCCTGCGAAGAATATATTTCTCGCCTTGCCCAGTGCCGCCAAGCGCTCGTATGAACACAGAAGCTAAGCAACAAGCAAGAAAGGTCGTCTACGACACCTGTCATCGTGTGGTATCATTCCGACCGGGTGACGAGGTGCTGCTATTGACACCAATTCGCACACCTGCTCTGTGCGACAAGTTCCAGCCTCGATTCATCGGCCTATATGTAATTTTAGAGCAGACTTCACCTGTCAACTATCGTGTGACACCTCTTATCGTGCCAACTGACCGCCGTTATCGCAGCACCGAAATTGTTCACGTTTCCCGCATGAAGCTTCTTACACGAAGTTCCTCGTTACCTTGACTACTCGCCCGCAGCGGCCAGGCTGGCCGCTTCCACGTGGGGGGGAATTAGTGTAGGCATCTATTACGTGGTTCATCCTCATTTGGACAGCAGTCAATCATCATCACCTGTTCTGGCTGACAATCATCATCGTCTTTGAACGTGTGCCTCATCTTCAGGTCCGTTGCGCTTGTTCGTTCCCAAGTTCATCACCAATAAACCTGGTTACAACCGAGTCGTCATAATATATATATATGTATATATATAAAGTGTGGGACATGATGGCGACAGTGACGGCAAAAATAATCTGAGAGTGTCCCTAAAATTTCTATTGCAATAAAGAAAAATAATCTATAAAAGAAAACAATCGTATCCCCTTTTTTAGCCAAGAGCCTGAAGTCGTCATGCTGAACAGCTTGTGTTTCTTCATGACAATTTGTAGTCCTTCAGTTGTAGTCACCCACTGCTTTATTGTGCTCGAGAACATCAGCATGCTCTACCTCTTTGCTCTTTCTTGTAATATTCAATAAAATCTTTTGTATTTGGTATTCTATTTTATATTTAGTTTTTTGGCCACTATTCGGCACTATTTGAATTCAAACTAATTTCGAGGTGAAATTACACTATTCGCACCCATCCAGAAATCATGAACAGTCTCCTCAAGAAGAGGAGTTGCCCAATACAGCTGGTGGCACAGAAATACGAGGTGCATTGTAGTCCTGTTTATAATTTTTATAAAGTTGGCTTAAAATTGATGTTGAGTGTACAGCCATCACGTCCCATGCTTCTTATTGATTGTGCAGGTTGACAATGTCATCCAAGAAACAAAAAACCTGATGAATGTCATCTCTAAAGTGGTTACAACCTGTCTAGTCTGTGCAACAAAGGTAAGTGCTTCTACTATACAGTTTGCAACTAAACCATGCTACTACTTGCAGGAATGTGATATTACATGTCATGCATTTCACTGAATATATTTGCATACAACCAATTGAAAACTTGTGGCTTATGGAACTAACATTTTGACCGACTATCTCAGTTGCGACACCTAATGCATGATGAACTCAGTAACAAAGTGCTGCTAAGCTTTGCCCCTGGCTGCCCACTTCACTTGAACTCACCTTAACACAATATTTTATATTTGTTTAGAGCCTATTGCTTAACAAAGCTACTTACGGCATTTCTTCAACACAGGTCTTATAGTATTCAGTCCATAATGTGTATAACAGGATACTTCTTGGTACTTCACAGTATAATTCTTTCTGCTACAGTTGGGCTGAGATAAAGTATTGGATGTAGTAATATATGACTGGGCTCACAATAGAAAACACCGAGTTCATGAATACTTAGCTTATAGGCTATGGTCTCGGTGTACACAAAGAATGTAATGAGACAAAAGTTTGAAATTTTTTATTTACCAATGTGAGTCTTACATAGTGTGGCAATGTTCAGGAAATAGAGACTACAATGTGAATGTGTAGAAGACAGCCAACAGTTTTTAAGAGCTGTAACACAACACCAAACAGTGTTGTGCTTTGGTGCTGTACAAAGCGATTCTAATGGCAAGCCAATGCCAGCGGTGTCAATCATTTCCACCTCTTAAGTTTGGGTTCATGAGCCGAATTTATAATGTCTTATTTTGCATAGTACTATGTCTTCACAAAGAACATAACCAGCAGAAAATCTTGTGTAAAAAACACAAGCTTTGTTTATTGAGGGTGATTTATTGATTAAATGTTCTTAAAAAAAGTACTTTTTGAAGATTATAAGTTGGGCAGGATACGTGTTTATTTATTCATTTATTTTTGAAACTCTCAGGGCACATTTGTACATCATAGAGGGGAGGAGAAGGCATATAGTTAAACATCAAAATAAATACAGGAATATGTAAACACATTACTGTGAAGATAAATATAATGGTAGATATTACATGCAGGGAGTACACTTTATTAAATAAAACCAACTAAACTCAAACCACAAAAAAATACACTGAACAGCCAATATTAGTTACGCCCGTTGGTACAATTCTCAATTGCAACTTTATTAGTGCATTCTTAAAATGAGTGGAGTCGGCGATGGTTACTAATGATGCTAGCAGATTATTTCAATCTATTGAGGTCTTAGGAAGGAATTATTGTGAACATGCTAAGCTGTTGTGACGAGGTACGTTCACCTTATGCACGTGATCATGGCGAGCTGAATCCAAAGTAAGCGAAGGAAAGCATTGTGATGATAGATTTCATGAAATAATGAAATGCACAATTCCTTTCTGTGAATAGAGGGTAATAGAATATGCAGCATACTCTTCAATAATCTAACACTAGCAGGGTGATTATAATTACCTAGGATGAAACGACCAGCACGATTTTGTATCGATTCGATTTCGTTAATTAATGTGACTTGATCAGGATCCCAGATGGATGAGGCGTATTTTAGTTTGGGGCTGACGTAGGTGATATATAGCAGTTGTTTTAATTGGACAGGTGCAAGCAAAAAATCTCTTTTCAAATATCCTAATGAGCGGTTAGCTTTTGATGTTATGTATTTTATGTGCTGCTTCCAAGAGAGGTCGTTGGTGATATGAATGCTTAGATAACGGTAGCTGCTAGCAAATTGAAGGGGGGCAATTATTTAGTGCATAGCCAGGGCAGAATGTGTTGGAATGAGAAATGCACATCAATTTATATTTATTAATGTTGAGTTCCTTGCACCATGTGAGACACCACTTATATATGTTGTTTAAGTCGGATTGAAGGGTTGCTATGCCAGAGGCTTCATCAATTTCACGATATACAATGCAGTCATCCACGAGCAAACAAACTTCTGAGGAAATGTTATCGCGTATTCATTATTATATACTAGATATCCATCCAATCTAGTGCCTATGTCGTCACTTCTCATGTATTTGCAAGCTTCTCCAGGGGGCCCAGTGGGAGTCACTGTGATTATGCACGGACATATATATAGTACCATATATCTTGCCTTGTTGATTATGGCATAAACTCTTGCTGTATTTTGGGCAGATACAAGCGTAACAGGTGAGAAGGCAATAAAAAGGGTGAGATTAGTGTCGTGCTCAAAGAATCATCTTGGCGACCTGAATGTAGCTCTGGCATAGCGTGCTGCCTGTAAGTAGTAAGCGGAGAGAACACAAATCGATGCACACCAGTTCTGGGCCCAGTACAACCTGGACTTCCGTGGCTCGGAAAGTGGCCGGGCGCACTCTCAGTGTGGCTACCAGGACGAGGAGTACAGCTACAGTGACGGAGGTGGCAGCACGGGATTTGGGTCTAAGGGTGGCCCAGGAGCAGTCAGCTCATCAGACCCGGGCATCTGACAGTACGGGATGGGCCCCCGAAGGCCCAAGCAGGACGCCCGCCGCACTAGGGTGTCTTTTTTACTCTTTTAGGGTCAAAATCCAAGCGGGACTAAGCAGCTGTGGCTATGGGCTGGCAACGAGTGGCACTGAAGGCTGGCGACGTTCACCGCGTGCCTAACCAATGCATGCGTCACATCGGCAGTCGTGCATGCCTTCTTTGCCGGCTCAGCTGCGGTTCGGTAGTTCTGCCTTGATCACTGACTCCACGTAGCTGCAGTGCCTGACAATGCTCGAGTTCTTAACAAGTAATTCTTTTGACAAAATGCATGCATTGGCAATGTATGGCTTTTCATTCTGACCAAAATATTTTGTGTGCTTTTCTACCTCTGTGACCAACCTAACCTACATCTGATGACATACTTGAAAAATCTACATGCGAGCATCACCTTTATTTCAGATTTGTCTAATTATGTGTTGTTCAGTGCATGGCTGAATTGTGTTCATGGTGTTGCAGAACTGTGCGCTGCAGGTCAGTGGTCAGAGCAGATGTGGTCCTGTCTGCCCCACTCTTGACGTGCGCTGCCCAGTCGCCGGAATAGAACCAAAGTGAGCTCTAAATCACACTATAACTCTGCATTTGTGTCTAATGCACCCAGTACTAACCATCCACTGGAATGCGCTGATGCCTACTAGACCTAGGCACACTAACCCTCACTGTTTTTGCTGCTGCTGCAGCGCTGGTGACATAAATGCTTGAACATTCCAGACAGTGCTGCTGCTGTAAAACTGCCAGTGAAAAAGCCTAATCAATGCATTCCCACGTCTTCCTAAAACTGTGCAATATATCTGCACTATCTTCGCCCAAAAGCAAAGGGTATCTTCCAAAGCCAGCCCAGTCATAATCCGCTATGATAACCCTGCTGACCGGTGATTAAGACTGCGCGCTTGCACGTCAAGTCGTGGGTGGGTTTTGACCCTGAAACGGTTTTTTCTCCATTTTCATTCCCTCCTTATTAAGTCAGTGCATCATTGAACTTTTTCTTTAAGTTACTCATGTGACAAAATGCCGGTGCCAATCCGTCGGAGCGGGCGACTCTTTACTTTGATAATCTAGAAGAAAGAAAAGCTGGTCATATCATAAGCTAGTGTTTGCATGGTTACGCGGTGTGTAGAGTGAAAAATATGCCACTTATTAATGCAGTTGCCTGGCTCTCAGTCCCAGCATACAATGCGTATTATTGGAGCTGTGCTAATATTAGTTGGGAACCTTGGTTGTGAAATACTACAGCAGGTTAATTAGGTTAATTAACTAAAGCCAAAGGCATCTCTTAGGGTCTCAAATCAGAAAGAGTAAGATGTGATACACGCATCAACTGCATGAGCTTGCAAAGTTACAAACTTGTTTGCTTTTCAGTCCCCATGATAGACAGCGAGGCTCTCTAATACAAATTTTTCATGTTTTTACCTTGCTCCAGAGTCCACCAGTACTGCCTTTATGGCTTCTGTCACTTTTTCTGGGCTGCAAGTGGGCTTGGTCTATTGTGCAGATGAAAGCAGGAACGAGGAAAAAGACAGAGACAAGTGCAGTTTGTCTGCCTTTTTTGTCTCTGTTTTTTTCTGCCAAGTATACCTAGATGATATATTACCAATTAGCCTAATCAACCAAACTTTTGCAGGGGCTGACTGGTGTAATGTACTACAGTGCTAGTGTATGAATGTAAAAGCGAAAACGTTCCAAAAACCGGGTGCGTTCATGATTAAAAGTGTGCACTCGAACTTAACACAACAAAATATAACAAAAGCTACACAGAAGTTTCGCCACCTATGCAGGTGGCATCCTGATGCCACCCATGTAGGTGGCAAAACGTCTGTGTAGTATTTGTTATATTTTATTGTTAAGTCAGTGTTCATATTTCTAATTGTGAAAATAGAAGCTATGAGAAATGCCAAGCCTGTACAGTGTAGCATTTCTGGGATGCTGAGTAATAACTCACAGCTGTTGACGACTGATGCCACTCCCCATCAGCTTCACGAAAAAACAAATTGCTAGAATTTTGCATGATCCTGATTCCTAACTGTGTCATGCCAGGTCTATGAAGCTTCTGGTAGTGGGACTGAGGAAAAGTTGGCCTCACCTCTCCAGAGTTTTGTGCAGGTACAGTTGGTATAACCACTTCAAGTCAGTCACATGCAAACACTGAGTGGCTTTGTTCCTGTTCACAATGATTGTAGATTTGGGGAGTCTGGAGGCACCTTCTCAAGTGGAAATGGGAGAAAGCTGGGATAGCAGAGCCTGTTTTTAACAGTCCTCCTACATTGTTGTCCTGGTTTCTCGATCCACGGTGCTAACCTTCGAGTACTGAAGCCGCCCTTGTTGTTCACGCTGCCATTTTCTACATTCAGCACACATTGTATAGCCACCCCTGTTTCCATTGTTTTCTGTAGTGAGAAACGTACAAATTTTCCCAGAGCATCGGTGTTCTCAATTGTTACCCCTACAGTCTTCCGGTACCCAGCCTCCTCAATTGTGTGGTAGGTGATGTCGCGACTGAGGGCTCTAGTCTTCCTATAGAAGACACTTCGTCGCTCCCCATTTTCTCCCTTTTCCATGACGTCTTCCCTGATGTTTCCTCGCAGGTGATATCGAAGTCATTCGTGTCTCATAGAGCCAAACATAAAAGCAATAGATGACTCCATGTTGCCTTTTTTTCTTCTTTTCTTTCCACGCAGTTGTGAGGAAGTCCAGGCTCGATAGTTGCTCTTGAAGAGTGGTTGCACCGTGTGATTAAGAGTCGTTAAACAATTTATCCTGCTAGCATCATTCCTCCAGCTCTGCTTGCTATACAGGTCGACACCTCTATAGGAAACTGACAGCCGTGTATTGGAGAAGGACCCACACTGCACTGTTCTAAATGCGAGCTTACTGACAGAGCAACTCGTGTTGGTACATGTATGGTACTCCATGTTAGTGCTTCCACTTGCACTCCAAGAAATTTGATGACAGATTGTGTATCATTGCTGCCTGCTAGAAAACAAGAGCTTTGAGGACAACATTACTGCGGGTTGGTACCATACTGCTGCCATATGCTGTGGCCGTAAGGTGCTTACGCTACTAATACAGGAATGTTATGGAATCTTATCAAGGTGTAAAGAGGTTGATAGGTTGACACCAAACATAAAAACTATAAAAAGAGATGCCTGCCCGCGGAGACAATTCAGGCGCCACTTCTTTTGAAGTCATTTCATCTTCTTTTAATCATTGCATATGATCTGCTGTTGTGGTGACCCATTTCTGAAAAATGGCAACAAGCCCAGAAACGTAAGCGGTGTGGCTCCATACCCTCACTGTAACTGTGGGCTATTGAGAAATGATGTGGGGGCTGGGTGTGGTGGTCAACATGGCCACTGCGCCGAGTGTGCACACAATATATATGTGTTGCCAAGTGGTAGTGGATTCACGGGAGATCCTCCACCCTGGCAGCGAACAAGCCCCATGGACCCCTGTTTGCCAGCGGCCCCGTCTCATTTCAGAAGATAGCTTACTGGTATCCATGAATGCCTTAGCAATGCGCCCAGGGATTCCAGCATGACAAATATGTTCTATCCAAGCCGTGTAGGTACTTATAAAAAATCAACATGTAGTACAAGGGCACAGGATACTAGCTCTGAGACGAGGCGCTGGTTACTTGTCCGACTCTATTTCCTTTTTGATTGTGCCTTACAAGCTGAGCTCAACTAACCCACCTCTACTCTCTAACATTTCCCTTCTCAGATACAGTACTAAGTCTGATTACAAGATTTCATGGAGATGTATTGATTCTTATCGGTTTGTCTGTTCTTCGGAATACTTATGTGCAAGGTAGTTGGGTGTCATCTTTAAGAACTGGGGTGCGGCACCATGATGCGATGAGAAAAATAGTCTCCACTGTACAAAAAAATCCCTGGGCGTCAAGCTTGTTTTTCTCGAGGCTCCGAGTCTACTAAATAATCAGAACACAATATTCCCAATAATGCTGCTTGGTTACATCACCGAAGTTTGCCAGAGAGTGTACCAAAAAGGAAAATCTGGGTCGAGGTATCGTTGGCATTCCGGGCTTCTGAGAGGGCTTGCTGTCTCAAGTATACATCAAAGTCAACATCAAATCTCCCGAGAATGCTGCTTTTCTGTCGAGCGCTCGAATTTCATTACCTCTGGGTGAAAGCGTCCTGCTGTCAACCTTCCTCCTATATACATATACACACAAACACACACAGTATACCATACATAGTGCTCACACGGTTCTATAGGGAAAGAGAGAGAGAATTTAAAGAAACAAACAAAGGTTGGCCATATGCTGTGATCATGTTTTCAATGTACAATGTTTCGTTCCTCTTCTGTCCTCCCAGATAGAGCGACAAGAGCGCATGCAGATACAAAGAAAAATGCTAAATTTGCATGACCTTGCACAAGCTTTGTTCTTATTTTTCTTGTGTGTGTATGCTTTCCTTTGGGGTGAAGGATAACGAAGGTTCAACATTATTCTATGCCGAATACAAGCTTCTAATGATTTCTGCACCAGAGCCTATACGTCTATTGAATACTCATAAAGGCAAAAGCACATGTAATTATATTGCAGCATCAGAACCCATTGCCACTTCAAATGACTGCAGATATGTTATTTGAATGTAGCAGCACTTGAACACATGTCGATGTTCTGATGATAGCTTTTAAGCCTTCTTCAGGTTCTGCACAAAAATATTCATTAAACTTAGTCACGAGCACCATTGTGCATACCGCACAAATGTGGAGGCAGCGCTCAACATGTATTGTGCATGTCTCTAGGCTGCATATCCTCAAAGATGCATACGGCATGTTCAAAGAGCTCGGGGTGTGTGGCTCATGCATGTGACACTATGACATGTCGCTTTTGGAGAATAGCTGAAGTCGACTGCAATAAATGCTGCGCCTGATATTGCATTTATAAGCCGCTACGCAGGAAATGGTGTAAAACTCGTTTGGTGTGACAGCATAAAATGCTGAATTTGGCTCTTTTGCAAGTGTGTTCCGAGCCATGAATGCTTGAATATTTCAAGAGTGATAAAATGGCAGTTAGACAAGGCTTGCAGAAAGGTGCTCATGCATAAAAATAGATAATTACAATATTGCCATTCTGTATTCGATGCAGAATCGTCTGTTCAGAAGTGCTTGTTTTGAGAGACTTGGTGGGATTCCTAGGGAAGCACTGCAACAAGATGCAATAAGGACAGGTCTGGAAAGACGATTTGGGACAAGCTACTGTAGCTGATCTTTGTGTGTCCATGCTTGTTGCACCTTCTACAGCCACGCATTTGAATAGTACTATAATAATAAGCCATGCACCACCAACGCACCACCGTCATTACCTATGATGATGTTTAGTGCCAAAAGAAATTATTCAAGCCCACACTGCAGGACTTCAAGTACACAGGGAATCAGCATTTTCTGCATGTTTCACAAAGCAGTATGTACAGAACTGCGCAGTTGGCACTTAACTTAGTGGCACCCTAGATATTGAATGTGCTCATGCATATTAACGGTTGCATGTAACTGATTATATTGACTTTCAGTACTTTATAGAGGTGAAAAAAAAAAACATAAATACAGATTGGCATTAATTATTGTCGTTGCACTTAAGGCAATCTTATTTTCGAGAAGTACTATAGGAATGAAACCGTAGCCT